CTTGTGTGGGTTCTTACTAAACACTTATATTCCGCTTTGTGTTTAATTGTATGTTGATGTTGTTATGTATGTTTACTAATCGGTTTTGGCATACGTATCTAGCGGACGTCTTGTGCAAATTCGGTAAGGATGAACTGCGGTTATTCTTATTGGGTTGTACGACGGTTGTCCACGTGGCACAGACGCGGTCTGGGGCGTGACAAATTCTACTCCATTTATATATTTTGGTAAAATTCCTATAATTTAACTTAATTATAATATGACATATTGTAAAAACTTAGGTTGTATATCTGCTACTTTGTGATTGATGCTAATACTGTATGCTTATTGTTTCCAGGATGTTAATATTGTATGCTTATTATTCATTCATCGTTTGTCCACGAATATCTGAAATTATTTTTTTGGGCTCATTGTTTAGGCTGGAAGAGGTATGATACACGTGTAATTTCCGTATTTATGTTTGCAGTTTTAGTTACTTTTTGTAGTTTAGCATTTCGGAAATTACACACTTTTGGTGTAATAGTTTAGTTTATTTAAATTCTTGTAAAATGTTTAGATTAGGTTTATTCTGGGCTCAAACAGGTCTGCCATCACTCAAAGGATAGTTGGTGAACCCCAAAAGTGGAAAGAAGGTGCAAAAATCACAAAGACAAAAAGGAAATCCTGATTTTGGTCTATACTCGGTCGAGTATATACATATACTCGATCGGGTATCTGGTTGAAATTTCAAATCGGATCGGATCCGAAAACAAAAGAACATGCAGGAGAAGATTTTCCCACGATCGAGTGTCTATACCCGATCGGGTACACCGACATACTCGATCGGGTATAACTATGGTTTTTACTCGAGTCTCGATCGAGTATGGACCGAATTCCAGTTTCTACACATACTCGATCGAGTATATGTACATACTCGATCGAGTACTCGACCTGCACCTCAAAAAGCCTATAAATACACCTCCTTTCCTTCACTTTAAAAAAACCAATTCTTCCATACTCTTAAGCTCAGTTTAGAATAGTATTTCTTTTATATTTTTATAGCATGTTTAGTGTCCAAATGAGGAGCTAAACTTCCATTTCTTGGTATTGCTCTTGAAGCTTGTTGATTATTAAAGTTGTGAGTTATTTTCTTAACTTCTTTTCCTTGAATATTAATTCTTCCTTTAAATACTATTTCTATATCAATGTTGGGGAGTGTTACTAAGATGACAATTAGTTAACATCTTGACATTGGTCTTAGTAATAGCTATTCTTTCCTCTATGTTAATATCGGGGAGTGTTACTAAGATGACAATTAGTTAACATCTTGATATTAACCATAGTAGGATTCATCTTCTTTAATATTCTTCCTTGAATATTAATTAATCCCTATTCATATTTCATATTAATATTTTGAACATTACTTAAAGGATCAACTAGTTTTGTTTCACATATTAATTATTACTAGAAACGATCAACGAACCGATGGTTAATCGTTGATAGTTTCACAAGTAAGTAACTTCGGTTTATTCATGCACGGTCGTGGTTAATAAACTTAAGAGGGATTAATTTTGTTGATTAAACCGGAACCGTTGCATTAAGGTTATCAATCTCAATTGATTTCATCAAGGAGTTAAAAGATTAAATGCTACTATCAAGTCGGTATATGACGTTGTTCTATATTTGACTAATAGTAAGGGTTATTAATGAACGGTCGTTGTTAATAACTATCCTCGATGAATTGGATATACTCCTCGATTGAGTATTCGAGAGGAGATAAGTTATAGATATAACAATGATCGACTAAAATATATCAACAAGTGGAAAGTAGCAATGCCAAGTCCTTTTTATCTTTGAAATAAACCACATAACTCGTTCATCTTCGTGTTTAATTTAATTAAATCACTCAACAATCAAAACCCCTCTTTATTTACTATTTATATAAAAAGAAAGTTATTCCTTTCCCTGTGGATACGAACTCTACTACGCTATACTACGTATAAGTGCTAGTATTTGAATTTATTTTGAGTGCACTCACGACAAAGTGCACATCAAATTTGGCGCCGTTGCCGGGGAAAGGCAATTTATTTTTCTTTTTATTCCATTTTAAAGAAAAAGAAAAAAAAAATAGTTGAAGTATAAAGATTTCTATTTCTTCTGAGCTTGTTTGAGTATATGGTAAGAACCCGATCTATAAACGAAATCATCTACCAAACAAACCCTCAAACGGAACAAGCCTTCGAGAGGTTTAGGAATTTATTTCCGAATACTTCTTCGGAGGAATCATCAAGCGCTAGCTCTCATTCTAGCGAGACCAAAGAGCCAATCACTATGGCTCATGAGACGAGAACATTGAGGGAGCTCACGGCTCCGAATCTAGATCAACAACCTCTATGTATCACTTTTCCAACTCTTGATACAGGGGTCACATTTGAGCTAAAATCTGGGCTCATTCATCTCCTTCCATCATTCCATGGCTTACGAGGGGAGGATCCAAACAAACACCTGTCGGAGTTCCACATTGTGTGCACAAGCATGTGCCCCAATGGTGTCTCCGAGGAGCAGATCAAACTGAGAGAATTCCCATTCTCCTTGAAGGACACCGCAAAGGATTGTCTTTTCTATCTTCCTTCGGGAAGTATCACTACATGGCCACAAATGAAGGAGGCCTTTCTTGACAAGTACTACCCCGCTTCTATTTCATCATCACTCAAGAAGCAAATAAGCAACATCGAACAAAAAGATGATGAATCCCTATATGAATATTGGGAGAGATTCAAGAAGCTATGTGCAAGTTGCCCCTATCACGGATACACCGAACAAGACCTCATCCTCTACTTCTATGATGGTCTTGTGGACCAAGATCGCCGCATGGTGAATGCGGCGTGTGGAGGGGGTATTGTCAACAAAACACCTTCACAAGCGAGAGATCTCATCTCGGAGTTGGCCGAGAACTCCAGACATTATAACGGGCGGTCCTCAACTCGAAGAGTCATGGCGGCGGAATCCAACAACGCGTTGGAAAGTCAAGTGAACGGCTTGACAAGTCAAGTGACCGGCTTGACTTCTTTGGTTAAGGATTTCCTTTTAAAATCCAAGACCCAAGAAGTCAAGGTCTGCGGTATCTGTACACAACAAGGGCATCCAACGGACTCATGCCCAACTCTTCAAGAAGACACCACAGAGCAAGTTAACGCCTTGGGTTTCCAAGGCCACCAACAAAGGAGGTACGACCCATTCTCAAATTCTTACAATCCCGGATTGAGGGATCATCCAAACTTAAGGTATGGAAACCCTCAACAAGCCAACCCACCTTCTCAATCGAGTATGTCTACGGAAGACATGATTCGAACTCTTGCTACTACCATGGGCACCTTACAACAAAACGTGGTGCAATTTCAACAAGAAACAAAGTCAAGCATTCAAAATTTGGAAACTCAAGTTAGCCAAATTTCGAATGCTGTAAATCGACTTGAAGCAAGAGATTCGGGTAGGCTTCCCTCCCAAACTGAGCAGAACCCAAGGCAACAAGTCAATGCCATCATGCTAAGGAGTGGCCCGGAATTACAAGCAAAGGAAGTTGAAAAAGAGGAGGTTGACCACAAGGAGGAGGAGCCAACGAAGACAAAATTTCCTCCGTTGTCATCATATGAACCAATCCCTCCATTCCCTGAGGCATTGAAAGACACAAGGAAGCTAGAGAGTGATCGGGACATCTATGAGACCTTCGCGAATTGTGAGGTAAATATCCCACTCTTTAAACTAATCAAAAGTGTTCCCCGTTATGCCAAGTTCTTAAAAGAACTATGTATAATGAAAAGAAAAGATAAATTAAAGGGGGAACAAAAGGTTGAAGTTAGTGAGCATGTCTCGGCCATCTTTCAAGAAAAACTTCCAAAAAAATGTAGCGACCCAGGCATGTTCACTATTCCTTGCACGATAGGAAACACCCCATTTTCTAAGGCCTTATTAGATTTAGGGGCATCTATAAACGTCATTCCTTATTCCGTTTATAAAACCCTACAACTTGGCCCACTACATCAAACCGGTGTGGTGATTCAACTAGCAGATCGTTCTAGTACCTACCCGAAGGGTGTATTAGAAGATGTACTAGTAAAAGTAGAGAATATGGTTTTTCTCGTCGACTTCTACGTCCTCGAAATGGGGAATGATGACCAAACAACATCCATACTTTTGGGAAGACCCTTCTTAAAGACCGCAAAAACAAAAATCGACGTGTCGTGTGGTTCATTAACTTTAGAGTTCAATGACCAAAAAGTAGAGTTCAATATCTTTGACTCTACGAAAAAACAAATTAAAGATCAATCTCTTTGTTCTTTAAATGTTTTTGAACCACCAACACCAAATGTTTTAATTGAGTTGGGAACAAAGAAGAAAGGTCGGCCTTACTGGAAAAGGCTAAAGAAAAGAAATGAAGGAAGGGATGCTCACGATCCCACATAAAAAAAAAAAAAATGTTGTGCCACGACGTTAAATAAGGCGCTTCTTGGGAGGCAACCCAAGTCAGGTAGTTAGATTTTATTTCCTTTTGGTGTGAATTTGAGAGAAAAGAGAGAGAGGGAACTAATCACATTTATTTTGAGAAGAAGAAAATGCAGGTTTTGAAGTATCTGGGGACATACTCGATCGAGTACCATCTCATACTCGGTCGGGTATGGTTTAAAAAGAGGAACCGAGGCACTACTCGATCGAAGTAGCCATATTTTCCAAGAATAAAGGCATACTCGATCGGGTATATTTCCTTACCCGGTCGAGTATGAGCTGAAATAAGAAGAACAAAAAAAGCCTGCCTCCAGTACTCGATCGAGTACATGTTCATACTCGGTCGAGTATAAAGAAAAAAAGCACTTTATCTCATCCCTGCCTCCAGTACTCGATCGAGTATAGGTTCATACTCGGTCGAGTATGCTCAGAAAATACACTCTCCCAACCCCTGTCTCCGGTACCCGATCGGGTATACAGGGATACTCGATCGGGTACCTCTGCGATTTATACCCCCAAAACACCCCAACCCACTTCATCTTCTCCAAAATACACCTCAACTTCGAACCCCTCTCCCCCAAAACTCCATTTTTCTACCTTCTCTCGACCAAAACTCCCTCATTTCTCCACCAAATCATCCCATTTCACCACCAAAATACTCCCCTCACTCTCCTCTTCATATCTATACCCATAAATCCCATTTTCCCCAAACATCCACAAAACCCAAAAACCCTACCCCAAATTCGAATTTTTGGGTTTCAAACTCAAAAGCTTCAAAAAATGGCCCCAAGGAAGAATAGGGGAGAGAGCTCAAACACCATGGCACCTATTCCGAGCTTTGAGGACCTCATTCCCGCCGATAACGAGCACCGGGCTAGACTCCTCTCCACGATTAAAAGGCAAGTAAAACCTTCCCGTTTTCTATGCCATAATGCTCTCCATGAATTGGGTGTGTATAAGAGTATGAAAAAGTTCTTTTATGAGTTGGATATGAATCGTATTTTCAAAATGAAATACAACTCAAATGAAAGAATTATCTACGAATTCATGAGCTCGGTGCAATTTGAGAGTAATGAGGATGACTTTAGGGATGATAGCCTCAAGTTTCGTTTGTTCAATCAAAACTATTCGATTACAAAACTTGAGTTTGCCGAACATTTTGGCATCCCCGTGCCCTACGAGAGAACCATCTCGGATACCACCATTTTCGGGCACTCCCTATGGACAAAGATGACCGGGGAAGTGAATTTTAGTTCATCCCAAATGTATATTAGTCATGTCCAACACCCCGTTCTCCGGTTGTTCTTGAAATTCTTAGCCAATTGCTTGCTTGGCCGTCCCAACAACCATCACACTAGAATCGGGGACGTGTGTTTAATGTCTGTGGCCTTATTCCGTCGTCACGTGGACTTTAATTTGTGCAATCTCATGTGGGCACATTTGAAAAAAGAAAGCTTAGCGAAAGGTGCCATAGTTGTGGGTGGAGTGATAATACACCTGGCAAGTAAGTTCGGGTATACGGATAACTCTCCTATACCTGACTATTGCTTGATGGATATGGGTTGGCTAGGACGCTCGGGATGTACATCGTTTTCCCATACGGTTTATATTGGAGACCAACCAAAAAACATGTACAATTGGATCATACACCTTCAACCGGTCCAATACTTCCTAATGCCAAACCAATACACCCCCAAACTACGCTACAAACCGGAGTTCGAGGAGCCTCACTACCTATTCCCTCACGCCCTCCCACCACATTTCCAAGAGCCTCAAGCCCAAGACCTCCCCGAAGATCAACCCGACCAAGAACCTCAACCCGAGCACCAAGAACCCGAAGATGCACTTCACCACATGCCCGAACAGAACCAAGCATTCCCACCCCCCGATTACTTCCAACAACTCCTTGAAGGGTTCAACAAAGTGACCAATGAAGTTGGAAAATATCGGGAGGAACAAAGGGCGGGATTCCAAAGACTAGAGGAACAACGGGCCGAAGACAACCGAAGGTATGAAGAAGATCAACGTAGGTTCTACGGACCTATGTATTCTTACATGGCTCATCAAGGCCAATTCCACACCATGGCTCAACCACCACCACCCCCCTCTTGGTATGACCCCACTCAATGGGGCAACTTTGGAGGATCAAGCTCCGGGGGTGGAGGTTATGACGGCGGGGATGCTCATATGGGTGACGGAAGCTTTGGAGGCGGATTTGGAGGCGGCTTCTACGGTGGAGAAGGCGGGCACTAGGGACCGTGCTTGATCTAAGTGTGGGGGAGGAGACTCCGCATGGTATGTAATTTCATTTTCTACCCTTTACTATGCATGAAATTTTCTTTTTGTAAACAAAAAAAAAAATTGAATAAAAGAAAATGTAAATGCTAGTTAGGTTGAAAACCCACAAATGGGCAATCTAAGCAAAAAGGGCTTATAAACAATGAGTGAGTGGGGAGAATGGAAAATGTAAAGAGATGCTAGGATGAAAACCTGAAAAGGCTCCTAGGCAAAATGAGAGATATGAGAGAAATATTTTTCTGTGTGCAGGAACTCATTTGATCTCTTGGAAGAAGAAGAAGAACAAGAAGAACAAAAGGCAAGAAGATGGAGCATAGAAGATCATTAAACCCAAGAAAGAATGTTGTTGTAAAAACTCATTTTTTCCCTTGGTGGTCTTAGTTCTTTCTTTCTTGAACTTTTGGAAAAACTCTTAAACTTTTTGGATGTTTCTGTTTTACTCGAGGACGAGTAAAGAACTAAGTGTGGGGGAGTTTGATACACGTGTAATTTCCGTATTTATGTTTGCAGTTTTAGTTACTTTTTGTAGTTTAGCATTTCGGAAATTACACACTTTTGGTGTAATAGTTTAGTTTATTTAAATTCTTGTAAAATGTTTAGATTAGGTTTATTCTGGGCTCAAACAGGTCTGCCATCACTCAAAGGATAGTTGGTGAACCCCAAAAGTGGAAAGAAGGTGCAAAAATCACAAAGACAAAAAGGAAATCCTGATTTTGGTCTATACTCGGTCGAGTATATACATATACTCGATCGGGTATCTGGTTGAAATTTCAAATCGGATCGGATCCGAAAACAAAAGAACATGCAGGAGAAGATTTTCCCACGATCGAGTGTCTATACCCGATCGGGTACACCGACATACTCGATCGGGTATAACTATGGTTTTTACTCGAGTCTCGATCGAGTATGGACCGAATTCCAGTTTCTACACATACTCGATCGAGTATATGTACATACTCGATCGAGTACTCGACCTGCACCTCAAAAAGCCTATAAATACACCTCCTTTCCTTCACTTTAAAAAAACCAATTCTTCCATACTCTTAAGCTCAGTTTAGAATAGTATTTCTTTTATATTTTTATAGCATGTTTAGTCTCCAAATGAGGAGCTAAACTTCCATTTCTTGGTATTGCTCTTGAAGCTTGTTGATTATTAAAGTTGTGAGTTATTTTCTTAACTTCTTTTCCTTGAATATTAATTCTTCCTTTAAATACTATTTCTATATCAATGTTGGGGAGTGTTACTAAGATGACAATTAGTTAACATCTTGACATTGGTCTTAGTAATAGCTATTCTTTCCTCTATGTTAATATCGGGGAGTGTTACTAAGATGACAATTAGTTAACATCTTGATATTAACCATAGTAGGATTCATCTTCTTTAATATTCTTCCTTGAATATTAATTAATCCCTATTCATATTTCATATTAATATTTTGAACATTACTTAAAGGATCAACTAGTTTTGTTTCACATATTAATTATTACTAGAAACGATCAACGAACCGATGGTTAATCGTTGATAGTTTCACAAGTAAGTAACTTCGGTTTATTCATGCACGGTCGTGGTTAATAAACTTAAGAGGGATTAATTTTGTTGATTAAACCGGAACCGTTGCATTAAGGTTATCAATCTCAATTGATTTCATCAAGGAGTTAAAAGATTGAATGCTACTATCAAGTCGGTATATGGCGTTGTTCTATATTTGACTAATAGTAAGGGTTATTAATGAACGGTCGTTGTTAATAACTATCCTCGATGAATTGGATATACTCCTCGATTGAGTATTCGAGAGGAGATAAGTTATAGATATAACAATGATCGACTAAAATATATCAACAAGTGGAAAGTAGCAATGCCAAGTGGAAAATAGTTATGTTGTTATGTGGAAACCACATAACTCGTTCATCTTCGTGTTTAATTTAATTAAATCACTCAACAATCAAAACCCCTCTTTATTTACTATTTATATAAAAAGAAAGTTATTCCTTTCCCTGTGGATACGAACTCTACTACGCTATACTACGTATAAGTGCTAGTATTGAATTTATTTTGAGTGCACTCACGACAAAGTGCACGTCAAGGTAGATTTTCATCTCAAAATCTGGACCAGTGATACTTATCTTAAATGTTATTCTAATTTTTATGCTTGCTCTGTGAACTAAATATAGAAAACATTGGTTCTGTTTTAAAGTTTGAGAATTTTGATTAGTAGCTAATGTTATGTCTATTAAGTAAGTAATTTATAATATAATGTTTTTAAACATATGAAATTATCATCATCATTTAGAATTCATTTAGAATGAAGAAAGTAAACAGACAATATACATTCTATACTTTTTCCAGGCATGAGGGTTTTTGGTCATTTGACATAATTCAGACATCTCATTCAGCACACATAGTAAATAGTTTGTTATCTCAGTATCACTTAATCCAGACAGATATCTTAATCCAGACAGATGACTTAACTCATTCAGGACTTAATGGAAAAAAAAGTAAACAACCCCTAAGTGAGACCTATATGCATGCGCAATTACACTTTCTTGGATGTGGTCAAGAGAGAAGCATTTCAAACCTATATGGGCAATTACACTTTCTTGGATGTGGTCAAGAGAGAAGCATTTCAATCATTGACACATGAGTTTGTAAATTACTAGACCTGTACAAAACCGGGCCGGGCCACCCGGCCCGCCCACATAAATTAGCGGGCTTGGGCATATATATTTACCCACCGGCCCGGTCCGGGCCCGGCCCGCAACAACATATGGGCGGGCTTGGGTTAGGGTGTAGGCCCGTTCGGGCCGATAAGCCCGGCCCGCTACATTTAGTATATATACATATATAGTTTTATATATACTAGTTTATGTATTTATTTACATGTACACTTGTATATTTTCATATTTACTAATTTATTTGTATACATATTTATAGTTTATTATGTTTAAATTTAAGTTTTTTGTTCTTAACAAATAGTCCAACCAATATAATATCTATTTTTGTACTTAAAGATAATACCTTGTGCTTGAATTTTAAATTCTAGATATAGTTTCTCATTATTATTTTTGTGTAAATATTTTTTGTGTATGTGATGAAAGACCTATATACATTATAAGCGTATTAGCAATTTTTTAAATGTTTTAATATTATTTATAAAGTAATAAATAAATTATATAATTTTGAAAAATTTAATGTTTTACCGGGCCCGGCGGCCCGGTGGACTACCTGGCCCGCTCTTACGGGCGGGTATGGACACGGGGTTAGGCCCGTTTTGCGGGCCGGGCCTGGCCCACCCACACATGATGGGCAGAAAACTTATGGAAAGCCCGGCCCGAGCCCGGCCCGAACCTGCTTTTGTACAGGTCTAAAATTACATAAAAATATCAAGTTTTCTGAAATCTAAGATGAAACTCTAGGTTGAGACTCCAATAATGTTGTTAAGAAATATAGAGCAATCTAAAGACTATTGACTGTAATGGAACTAGATTAATTGTCACCATATTTTCAAATCATGTAATTCGAGCAGAAATATGTTTAGAGGTAATTTCTAATGAATAATGTCAATCGGGTTTCACTAATGTTTTTCTTTTATTTCTAATACCTATTGTATGGACTTATACATTATGGTATTCACACACTTATTGTTTACTCTGATTTTTAAAATGTTATTTATTTTCATATTTAATTAGATCATGATAAAAATATTGGGACCAACTACACTTGCCCGTGCGTATGCACGGATTAACCGGTACTATACTAATGCATCAACAAATGATTTATATATGTGCCTAATATTAGAAGAATGTATCGAATGCAAAACAAAACTGTTTAGTTAGAAGAATGTTATACTAAAGATCCGAAGTGATTTGCTGAAACATAAGTTTGAAGAAAACAAAAATTCACCCAAAAGTTTACTACTCAAAATTTCCAACAAAAGTTGGAAGTATACAAAAATCCTCCGTGGATTCAAAAGTTTACTACTCAAAATTTCCAACAAAAGTTGAAAGTATACAAAAATCCTCCGCGGATGACAATATATAGTTACTGATAAGTTCTATTCAAGAGAACCTCGATCTATATCTCATTGCTGCAAGCCAAAATTCAACAAAAATTAGCATTTTTTAAAAAGCAAGTAGCTCTTTTATGCATCTTTCAAAGGCTTCAAAATGACTTGCACCCCATACTTGGGCTTTATAGTGAGGACAACCACTGGCGCGTGGCGGTAACTCTCGGAAATATCAAAGCTGAACTTGGATATAAGCATAGCTAAGATGATCTTGGCTTCCATGAGGGCAAAAGATTGGCCCACGCAGTTCCGGGGGCCCGCGGCGAACGGCATGAAACTCCGACCCGGCCCGGAGAAGGACTTGGTTGCAAAACGCTCAGGATTGAACTCATTCACATCTTTTCCCCAAATTTCTTCACTGTGATGAATGGCTAGCACTGGGACCCATATTGAGAGACCCTTTGGGATGTGAAGATCACCAAGCTTGAAGTCTTCAAATGCCATTCTTGGAAGAATAGTTGCTGGTGGATATAGTCTTAATGATTCATTGATCACCATGTTCAACTGTGAATATACATTAATGAAGTTCATTATTATGGGGAAATTTGTAACAATAAATTTGCTATACACTCAATTTTTTATAGTTACAAAATTACAAAGTTACAAATTTCATTGAAAAAAACTTTAGTTTATATCTTTAATACTTTTCTATGATGGTTAGGATTGATAATTAATAAGTATCATATCGTTTCATGCATGTTTGGTTTCAAGTTAGTTCTGAGGATCTTTTAACTTGACTTGATTTTAGTCTCAAACAGATCAAGCTAAATCAAATTTGATCAGGCTTAAACACACAAACTCATACAATAGCAGATTTAAAACGAGTAGATCAAACTAAGAAAAATTTAAAGATAAGTTTGTGCATTGGATGCTATTTGATGACATTATAAGAAAAAACAAATAAAAATAAGTTACAAGTGTCTTCAAAGAAAGATAATGGAAATAAATTGAGCACATATGTGGACAAAACTTCATAGAATTATTATAAGCAATGTTAGATGATGCATAGTAGACCCGTATCTAATCTGAAGCATATTTGAATAATTCAGATGGTTTGACATATTTAATTGGGAAAAGGGGCAAATAAGTCCTCGAACTAACCAAAAAAGTGCAACTCACCCCTTATATAGAAGGTTTTGTCTGGCCGTCGCCATTTGGGGCGGTTCCCGGTGAAATTTTTTGAACATCTTTTTCATTAAGTCTAGTTTACCCATACCAAATTTCAGGTAAAAATAAAATCAGAAAGACAGTCAAATGATTTTCTGAAATATAATGCATTGTTTAACTGCTCAGTTATCTTCAAAAATTCATTTGACTGCCTTCCCGATTGAATTTTTAGCTAAAATTTGGTATGAGTAAACTAGACTCAATGAATAAGATGCATGCTCAAAAATTTCATCAAAAAATTCCACCGGGAACCTCCCCAAATGGCGACGTCCGGACAGAGTCTCCTATATAAGGGGTGATTTGCACTTTTTGGTTAGTTCGAGGGTTTATTAATTTTCCCCTTTTCCCTATTTAATTTGTTGATGTTTAAATTTTCAAATAATGTCGGTTACACTTTCTAATCTTATTCGAATTAGACTCAAATTAAAATAAAATATTTTGAATACCCTTGTATTTACACTGCAGGTGAACAAAGAAAAATATTGTGCT